CAAGCTGCTCAATTTCATAATGTAATAACATTTGTGTAATAAGCAAAGAGCTTGAAACATTCATAAAAGCAACTCCATTGCCTGCTTACCTCATTGCTCAACCAAAACTGTTCTAAAATTCCAGATGAATGGGATAGGGGCCGCTTCGCGGCCCAGGTGCCCAATAAAATCAAAACACTAGGCACTAGGACTAGGACTAAAGGTTGTCAGCTTAAGCTTTTTCAAATACAACGTATTTTTTTGCTTAAAATTGAAATTTTAATTCCATTTTAATACCACTGGGAAAAATGATAATGAAAAGGATTAAAAGTTGGCAGATATGTAAATGTTCACAAAAAATATAGAGCTATAAAAATATTAATAAATAATGGTAGTTATGGATAGTTTACTCTTCCCAATAAAGTAAGAAAAGTTATTACCCATCATAATTATATCTATTTCATACCTGCCAACTTTTAATCCTTTCAAGGATGATATTCCCCAGTGGTAGTAAAATGAAATGTAAATTGCAATTTTAGGAGGAAACATTTGCTGTATTATAAACAAGCTTATGCGGACTACTAGAAGAGTATTACATATTAATCTATATGCTTAATTTTTTTAAAAATAGTGGTGAATTAAAAAGATTATAAATTAAATTTATAAATGCAAGGAATATATAGAAAGCATACATTTTACTACCACTTTAAATATAGAAATAAAATTTTACGCCAAATGCGTAAAAGTTGGCAGGTATGCTTGTTTTATCATTTTAACTGTTTCAGCATTTTAACCTCTTTTAGAAAATGAACTTGAAGTATTCCCTCTTCCAGAGAGGCTAGCTTTTTACTTATTTTTCTTTTTAGACTTTGACTGAACCGTTTGTATCGGTCTGGTTTGGAGTGATTGGAAGTGGTCGAAAGTAGTGCACTAAATTAGTGAATCTACTGTAGTCGCTGCTTTTGGTAGTTTGCTGTGTAGTGAATAGTGCGATACAAAGAGCAGTAGTTTGTAGCGATTCCAGGCAACAACTTTTAATGTTAAGTTAGAAAAGGAAAACGGTTCTATAACGCTACTAATTTTTTGAATTTCGTCAACGGAAATGAATGCCTCTATCTCTACGTTAAGTTTCAAAAGCTCATTTTTCTACTACTTGCGTTAATTTTACTACTTGCGTATTTCAACATATCTCGAAAACTTTTTTATGCTAATTGAAAAATCTTTGCACGCAATTATAAAATTCATATGTCGAAAAGTAATTCCATGCAAAAAAAAATTTTAGTGAATATTTATTACTATTTCATTTAATAACGTTTGAAAAAATTTTGAATTGTAAGGTATATATTTTTTCATATCATTTTAAAAAAATGTAATTTTACATGGCAAAATACAAAATTTGAGCAAAATCAGTCAAATAGTTTCCCAGAAATCAAATTTTAAAAATCTGAAATTTAATTTTTTAGGAGCTATTGAACAGATATTGCTCAAATTTTGCATTTTGACTTGTAAAATTATATTCTTTAAAATGATGCCTTGCAATTCAAAATTTTTTCGACCGATAAAGTAATAGAAAAAATAATAAATATTTACTAAAAATTATTCTTTTTCATGGAATTACCGTTGGACAAACAAATTTCACTATTGAGTGCAAAAAATTTTCAATTAGCTTAAAAATTTTCATGATGTAGCGAAATATGCAAAAAGTAAAATTAACATTAAATCCCCAGATTACGGCTATCTCCTATATTTTGGGGTCAGAAATCTGAATTCGTCGAAAAAAGGTATGTTCATTTAGAGAAAGAATGCTTTTGTGTCTGATTTCGTAACTTAAAATGTGGTCTGCACATTTTAATTAGCATATTAAGATTGAGTCCTAGAACGCGAAGATCCTATCATTAGATCAAAAGTTATTCAGGGTGGTCCGTTTTATTGGCGCACTGTACATACATATGAACTTGTGTGCTCCTTTGAGAATAACACTTAAGACAAAAAACACATGAAATTAACGCATTGCATTGCAAGCTGAAATGTATTATCACATTCTTCCTTCCACTCCTTACGTAGCAATAAAGTAGAGACATTTAGTGCTCATTCAAATGAATTTTAAAAACTTCTTATTTGGAATATGTTATTTAATTGAAGAGAAAAATCGATTGCAGATTTGAAATCAGCGACGACAAAATATCTAATTTACCTTAAAAAATTTCATGCAACAGAAAACAAATTTGTTCCCAGTGCAATTTTCCATACGCTATTTCCTACGGTTTTGCTTCTCTCTTACGGTTTAAAGTCCTCTTACATGGTTGCTAAACCAGAAAATTCATTTTTTTAACGAGTGACCTTAACGAGTTAAATAAAAGCTTACTTAAAAGCTATTTCTTAACATTTCATTTTCTTAATGCATTTGCTTAATAATAGTTCCTCAATTACAAAATAAATTTATTTTTACAAGTAATAAAGCAGTTTTTCTTATCGAATTTTCGATGGTAATCGTTTATTCTAAATACTTGCTTGTTTCTTTTTTTTCCTGGAATTTTCGGACACTATATCAAATACAAGGGGTGATCAAATAAAGAGGTACAAAACGACATGGTGGGTACAAATTTAGACTTTATTCAAAATATACACTATAGGCCTAAACACAACAATCCCACTGATGAACAAGCCGCAGGATTCCTTGTTCCCAAAATTCCTGTGGCCGTGACGAGACCCAGTCCAACACAGCGTCCTTGAGTACGTCGCCCGAGTTGAAGCGTTTCCCTTTCAGGTGTTTCATCAGTGGACCAAACACATGGAAATCACAGGGCGACATGTCTGGACTGTAGGGCGGATGGTTCAAAGTCTCCCACTTGAACTTTTCCAGTTCTATGGGTGTGACTCTGGAGACGTGTGGACGAGCGTTATCGTGGAGCAGAACCACACCCTCCGTGAGCAGTCTCGGTCTTTTGGACCTGCGTAGGTGTCGGAGTGTTCCGCTGTCAGAAATCGGATAACACCTCGCTGTTCCTCGATCGTCGAATTTTGCAACGTGAACGCCATCCTGTCCTCATACGGACTGCTGCATCATTTGGACGCCGCTTTTGATAAGAGCCTATGCTCTCACCTGTGCATGCGGGCGTCAGCGCATGCTCCGATTCCAGTCAGAGACTCCAATCGCATCCCGAGATGTCTCGCTACGTTGTCCCATGGCGGAATATGCAAATATTTAACTGTTACGATTTTATGTCGTTTCGTACCTTTTCATTTGATCACTCCTTGTATTATTTTCGCCTTTATAGGAAAAAACCCTGTAGTGATGAGACCCCTATCTTCAAATTATTATTTGGAAGGTACAGATCCAAGAAATATTCAAGTTGAGAAAGATTACAAAGGTTTAAGAATAAGAATACCCTTAAAAGCAGAAGACATTCTCAGACTTACTGAATTCTTCAAATATCGCAAGGTATGTTTCTTACTTAAATATATATATATTTTTTGATAATTCAACGAGTGTTGTATAGCGCTCAACTACCCGTTAACTTTACTACCTGTTATCTTTACTAACTGTAACTTTACTACCTGTTTCATTTTATATTTTATGAGATATTCATACCTTATTCAAATTTAACTACCATTACATTTAAATAAGTTTATATTAAGCCTGCTAGTTTTATTATTGCTGTTTATTTTTTAGCAATGAATCTTTATCTATAATACAGAATATTTGTTTCTCCATTCCAATCACTAGAAGGCATTAAAATTGACAGTTAAAAAAGTCACTTCAATTGTAGATGGATAGAAGATATAATCTTTTCATCAGCTTACACGATTATAGCCGCAAAAAGGAGTGCTTACTAATATTGTATCAATATAGCCAAAGCAAAATATATCAATACAATAATATGAGGAGCACTAAAAAAATTTTTGAAACAAATAGAATGGAACAAATCAAGTAAAAATATCACGTAAAAATAGAAAACAAAATGTTAAAAAAGGAAACAGAACAATACATAAAACAAAATCTATAAAGCGAGTAGCGAATTCATATGAACTTACATGAACGGGAAATTTTTCAAGAATGATTTAAAATATTTTCTTAACAAGATTGCCAGTTTACAAAATATGAAAACAGAAGCGCAAATTGAGGTAAAAGCGTAAATAGAGGGATTTTGTTTTATAGTGCGTTTTTACTGCAGTACTGAAGTGCGTTCGATTTGTTACATACCAAGGATGGGCTCGAAAATGATGTGAGCAAGGGAATAATTATACTCTCTCTCTCTCTCTCTCTCTCTCTCTCTCTTTCTCTCTCTCTCTCACTCTNATAAAACAACTCAATAACCAGATTAAAAAACACAGTAAAAAATATAAAAAATATATATATATATAGTCGACTATATTGGCTGGGACCTCAATAATAAGCAAAGCTCAGCATTACTGATCTCGGATATCTCAAAGGTTTTTGACAGCTTTTGACATCAGGATATCACCAGGGTATCTTCTTTGAACTCATACAACTAAAATTTCAGTCTGGTGTCAATAAAATTATACAGACCTACTTATATAATAGATTCTTCCAAGTTAAATTTAAAAACTTAAAATCCACAATCACAAAAATAGCAGCAGGTTTTCTTCCAGGAGGTATCCTAGGGCCGATATTATTTACCTATGACTTTTCTGTGGCAGACAGGTCTATAACAAGATCACTGCATTTTGTACAGACTACACTGAAATCGTCGTTAGGCCCAAAAACCCTAACATTGCCACTGAGAAACTCCAAAAAAAAAATAATCTAAATGAAATAAAAACGTGATGTCTATATTGGAAGTTTAAAGTTAAGGGAAAAAAATCGCAACTTCTAATTATGCAATATAAATAAAACCATACTCTTAAAAAGCCATGTTGTTCTCTTTAATTAAACTCTCCCTACTGTCAAAAGCAGAAAATATATTGGCATTGTTATAAGTAGCAAATTCTATTGGAAACATAATGTCAAATCAATTATCAATAAAACAGAAGCAGCCTGTCACAAATTCTTTTTCAAAACTCTAAAATGGAGTTCAGACCTAAACACTTACTCTACATCTCAATGATCCGTCCCATCATAACTTAAGCATCTCTAGCATGATGTAACATCTCTCCATCACTCCTGGAGAAACTCAAAAGATGTTAGAATGATCTACTCCGAAAAATATGACGAACAAGATAGTTTATTTGAAATAAGAATACACATTGCGATCTCAACATTCCTTTTTTAGATCATCATAATGCAAAGCTGAATTGCAAAATTATAGAAAAGCCATAAATTGAGATGCCGCAGATGTAATGAAATTTTTACTTTTGACAACTTGATAGAAGGTCAATAGATGCTATTTTATGCAGCATTGCAGCTTTATCTAGAACACAAAATATTTAGCTTTCCATTCCAGTGACAAATTTGCATTTCTGTTACCAGATACTAGCAACCTTTAAGAAGATTGGTGGGAAAAGATAATCGGGGTGGGTTGGAAAAAAAGCCGTAAAAAAAGGCCCAGACAAGTTTTGATAGTGTTTCAACTCGGCAGAATGAATCAATTTTCTTTAGCAGGGACTATAATTCTCTCTTGTTAAATCATAATCAAATAAAAATTAGTAAATAATGTTTGAACATCGTTTTTCTTTTTAATTTTACTAATTTTCTTGGCCGGAATAACCTGGTTGGCAGGGTGCTGGATTCACGTCCATTTTAACGGGAGTTCGAATTCAGCCGGCCAAAGACTACCAGTGTAGTAAATGGTGACTGGTGCACGTTAAATCTATCGGGTCAGAAAGTCCGCCATGATTCCATTACAGATCAAAATAGTTTAAGGATAGAGCTTTCGACTTCCAATGAGGTGAACCGGTTTCGATCCCAGCTATGGCTGGTCGATACGAATTCCGCATCCGGCTTGCACCGACCACAGTGCTGACGTGAAATATCCTCAGTGGTAGGCGGATCATGGGTCAGAGTCCCTTGCCGTCAGGCTAATCGTGTTAGGTTCTCGTGGTCTTCCTCTCCATGCAACGCAAATGCCGGTTAGTTCCATCAAAAAATCTTCCACGAAGACAAATTTCTCCCAACACTTGATAAAGGAGTTTTCTTGTCTTCTGGATTGGGTTCAGAATTATAAGGCTGCGGAGTTGAACATTAGTAGTCGTAAACCCTAAAATTGGGTCGACTGTTCAACGACGGTTTAAAAAACTTTAAAAAAAATACCACTGGGGGTACTGAATTGCAGATATCTGGTTCAGTTCAAAATTACGATCTGTGGATGAATGAATGGGTCCATCCTATAACGGATGTGACTTATGGGCAAGTCGAATTCTTGGCCGTAGATGGTCCCACTGGAAAACAAGAGCAATCGCAACCCCTCTGCTTTAATGGCAAACAAAAACAACAACAATTGTTTGTTTTTTTTAAAGGAGGCAGAAAGTTCTCATGGGATTGTTATTAAGATCCCATTTTAAATATCTCTAAAACCGTATAACGAATATTCGGAACGTTGTGATATTTTGTGTGTGGCAGGAATGTATTTGAACTAATTAAAATTCGTTCCGAATTTTGCCTTGAAAGGGAGTATATTTTTTAAGGAATTGCACATTTTGCTCAACATGTTGGATATCACCATCCGTACAATAATTATACGATCTCTTTAGTAAGCTTAAATAAAAACCCTATTGGTAATACTTCCGATAGCATCGGCCGGTCTGTAATCAAGACTGTACTTTATTTATAGCTGGGTTTCGTGAGAAATAAGGAAATCTTTTCTCGAAGTAGTTTGAGGTATTATAAAAACAACTCATTGTTTACACACGTACTTGGAAAACCAGTAAATAAAGCGAACACTAAACATTAAGACTTTAAAATTTTAGTGTAGTAGGTAATTTATAGTTAACAATACATTCGAGTGCAAAGGATTAATAATAGATTTTTTACTCGAGTAATGAAAAAGCAGTAATATAAGAATGTTATTACTGTTAAAGGTAATTAAGGATCTTCTGGAAGAAAAGCTATATTGAAATTATTTTCTTACCTGTTTTATCTATTTTCCGCCACTATATATAGCTGCTACAAACCCGTCCAGAAGCAGGTCGGGTTCTAGAATAGTTCTAGCTTTCCAGAATATTTCAAGCGGTTGCTAAATAACAATTTAACTTATAATAGCAATTTAACAAATAACAATTTAAATTTCTCTGTGGGGGTATCGACTTTCTACGCTTTTTGGAAAAACTTGCTCAAGTGGCAGCGAAGTTTATGTTTTAATGTATTATTTTTTGTTTTGTAATCTTGTTTTAAAGTGCAAATGATTCAAAAATGTATAAAAAATCCACTTTGTTTCAGCTCTCCACTGGTGAGGCTATTAAGATGTTGGCAAAATAATCAAAAATCCTGAAAGCTTTAGTTTTTTATTGTGTACCACTCTTTAAAATAATTTGCAAAAATTATAGTAGTTGACAGCCTCCTTGTTTCTGTGCGACTTTAATTCCAAACATCCAGTATGGGGCTGCAACAACTTCAATCACAGTGGTTCAAAATTGAAAGATCTTATTAGCAAATATCAATTAACAGTAGTAGCACCAACAACTCCAACTTACATTCCAAATCGGATTAGCCATAGTCCGGACATACTAGACTTCGCAATAACAAACATGCATGTTCCAATGCTCGCCTGCGCTCATAACCATTTGTCATCAGATCATCTGCCAGTTCAACTGCTCGTTGGGGAAACCATAGAACAATCTGAGAAACCAAATTATAAAACTGACTGGAACCATTTTCAAAATACTCTTACAATCAATGGAACAGACCTACCATCCTTGGAAAACGAAACTGCAATAGAAAACTATATACAGCAAATCCAGAATGAAATAACAGATGCTTTTAAAAACGCTTCCACAGAAACCAAGTATATTGCCCATCATTACAGATTACCACCTGAAATAAAGAATATAATAAGATTAAGGAACTCGCACAGGAAATGGTACCAAAGAACTTNGCAGGAAAAACTGTTGCCATGAATGGGTGAACCTGGTCTGCAACTATGTTCAAGTAGCTTACAGACGTCAGGGATTGTTCTATGAGGATTATGGGTCCTAATGCGCCCCATGAAAACACTGTTCCTGGGAGAGAAACCATGAAAACCTGGGCGAGCCCATTGTTATAGATGGAGGGTGGTCATAAAGTAATGGCTCTTCGGTGTATATATATATTAACATTTTATTAAAAAACCGCATTAATAGATCTTTTTTTATTTCAGACATTACATGCCAAATATGTTCTCGTTATAATTCACGCAGCTCGTAACATATTGAGGTTTAAGCCAAATATTAATTTTGCCTCCAGTGTGTATTCTGGACAGATTACAGTTTGTGGAGATCTTCATGGAAAACTGGAGGATCTTTTAACTATTTTTCATAAGGTAAGATTTGTTTCCATTTAAAACATCAAAAAACTAAGTTTTTAGTCCGTTAAATATTATTCTGTTAAACATTGGATCAAAAAAAGTAAAATTCATTCATATTTCCCGGTTACACAATAGCAGAGTTTTGAGGATTTTGAAACCTCATACTAGTATTACCTTTCACTCTTTTGCAAGAATGATTTTCCTTTGTGGGAGTGAGATGAGAATTTAATACTTAACATTTTTATACTTTGCAAGATACCATGTTTTTATACGCATGATTATCATGTTTTTATACGCATGTTTCCTTTAACTTGGGTTGTAACAAATAGTGATTTGGCCGAATATCCGATAACCAAATAGCAACATTTTTTTAAAAAAATTATGTAAATATATTTTTATACATGAATAAATTAATCTTAATTGAAAAACAATCAAAACTTAGCTTTGTTACTGGTAGGTTTAAAATATTTAATATATGTTTGTTTGTAATACTGAATAATATCCCGGGACCTTGGCAGGTTCGGAAAATCGAAAGTCAAACAGAGCTCGAAATTAATTTCATTCAAGATAAAATAACTTTAATATTTAATTTAATTCAGTATTGTTCAATTTTCATTTAATCATCATAGCTTGGGAGCTTGGGTAGCATCATAGCTTGGGCTTCATTTAATCATCATAGCACCATTCATTAGGGTGGGAGAATAACAAAAGTGAACAGACCATAATCAACGCCTCCTAGAAAAGAGAAGGTCTCAGCACTGGTTACCATAAATAAGAAATTTGATCCTTTGGACTACTAATGTAATGACATCTTTCGTATTTACCACTATTGTGCAGCTTAGTAACCCGAATGTAGTGACATCTTTCTTATTTATCATAAACTGCGCAGTTCGTTGCGTCGGACTACTAAATTAATCCATGCTGAGGCTTTCATTCTACTAGGAGGTGTTGCTATAATTGTAAAAGTGCTGACATTCCACCAATGGAATCATCCAGCAGGGGTGAAAGCGAGACGGAAAGCAGGTAGCAAAAAAATTTCAAATATATCGAGTTTCGGGAGGGGTGAATCCATCCTATTCAATGATATCTACTGGGTAGGCCAACGTTGCTCCCACAGTAAGGACAGATAGTACAGAGAATGAAAGAACATCCATGTCTTGTATGGGATAAAAACCCAGGACCTTTCTGATGTGAAACACCTACATACAATCTCCATTTCGTTGGCTTTACCCTATTACTAGGAGAACGCATTTCTGAAAAGCATAAAAGTTGTCAGATATGCTCGTGATATCGTTTTAGATTATGAAATTTAACTACTAGTAAAAAATTTATGTTGGTTTATATGACTATTGTGTGTGTGTGAGAGAGAGCTTATGTAATCAGGGTTGCCACAGACGACTAATAAATTTCAAAATTTTATTAAAAGAAATTAAACTTCGCAACTTCTTCCAGAAATTTTTTCAGCTTACTACAGAAAGTAATTGAAAAAATTGCATGTATATGAATAATATGAAATGTAAGTCATAGTGGTAGATACGATAGAATAGTTAAAAAGATAATAAATAAATTAAAGAGGAAGTAAATAAATAAAAGAGAATTGAGTTTCTATACCAATTTTTGCATAAATAATCGCCTGTGGCATCTAAGTGTAATGGATTTGCTGTTATGATTTCACCATTCAATTGCGCTTCGGCGATTTATTATACATTCCCACTCAAATGAATTAGTTAGAGGCCCTCACGGGGTTGATGCTAAGATAACTACTACATATGAGTATGAGTTGCTGTCATGATGTAAAATATTTTTTAAAACTGTGGAAATTCTATGGAGAATTCGGGAAGGGTATATATTACTTTTCAGAAATCAAGGCTCCCACGGGCGCCTAAAAATGCAAAAAATTAGTAACCTAAAAAATTCAAACTTTTTCTAAAAGAGTTTATATTTTCAAACTTTTTTTCTCAATTTGCTCATACAAGTGTAAGCTAGTGCTAGTGGTGCAATTTATCTGGGCACTTGAGCCGCAAAATGGTCCCTATCCAATTCATCGGGAATTTAAGTTCAATTTGTGTTGAGTCTTTACGGTCAGCAGGCAGTGAGGTAGCTGTAAACACACTTCAGGCACTTTGCTTGTGTAACTAAAAATAAATGGAAATAATAAAAGCAGCTTGCTCTAAACTAGGTTTGCTTCAAAATTTTTAATCGTAGATAAGTAAAAATGTGTCAGCATGAGGAAACGCCTTTAATGTTCAGATTTCAGATTGATTAATTTTAGCTTCAGTTATTTTATTTTTAGAATTTCAATTATTAGAATTGTAGTTTAACCCCTTGGGGACGGGTGATTCAGAAAAGCATTCGTACAAAATCAGAATCAAGTTGCAATTAAATAAAACCAGACTTAAAAGCCA